CAAGGAGTGACCAGGAACAATGGTCACAAGCTGGCGGAGGGAAGGTTTAAGTTGGACATCAGGAGGCGCTACTTCACGGTGAGGGCGGCTAGGGTCTGGAACCAGCTTCCAAGTGAGGTGGTGCAGGCTCCCACCCTGGGGGTTTTTAAGAGGAGGTTGGATGACCACCTTATTGGGGTCATTTGACCCCAGTGCTCTTCCTGCCATGGCAGGGGGTCGGACTAGATGATCTGCTCAGGTCCCTTCCAACCCTAGAATCTATGAAACTATGAAACTATGTAGTCGCTGTGCATTCCAGCTTCCTGCATGTTTGTCCTCTTTCAGTCTCCTGATACGCCTGAGGACAGGGGAGTTCACCTGCACTCCCTACCCCTGCCATGGGAAGATAGAGGGCCAAGCAGTCCCCTACTGTGCTTTGCTGGAGGGTGCAAATATCTAAGGAATTGCTTCAAAATGGAGCACTCAGCCAGCAATCTGCGGGCCAGATCTGGCACTTGGAGTTATGCCATCTAGCCCACCAGACTCCCCACAGGCTCCAAAAAGTGGCAGCATTTATTGCTATTACCCTCCAGTCAAATTTCTGGACCTGTGGATGAGGCAGCATGACCCTGCACACTAGATTAGACTCGCAGGGCCATGGCAGTACAGGGCTTGATCCATGCATCACTGGGTTGGCCACGGTGTGCGGGTTTGGGCTGGGGTACACAAGGTCCAATCCGGGTGCATAGGGCCAAGCCAGTGTAGCACGGGGCTGGGCTAGGGTGAAAGGGGGCCTGATCTGGACATGCGGGGCCCAATCCCATGCATGACCCAGCAAGGGATCTGGCCGCACACCACTCCTCTGGCCTGGGGAACCAAAAGGTTGGGCACCATTAATGTTTTCATAAGTCTAAGTGTTTTGTTTCTTTAAGGTTTCTGGGTGTTTTCCCTATTTGATGCTTCATGTTACTTGGAATAAAAAAAGCAACAGCATCTAATTTTCAAGGATAGTCATGTGTAAAACCTCAAGATTGTATTATAAGAACTTAATATAAAAATTACCTGAGCTTGAGACATTTAATTTTTCTCCTATTTTATCAAATCGTAATTTGATGTATTCACACAAATTAAAGCACCTGAATTTTCAACTATTTCCTGTACAGAATAATTTATCTCAATAACATGTTTGGCAGAATTTTGTATGGAAGTACCAGCAGTGCTTCACTGATTAATTATATTTATTGTTGTTTCTAAAATTACTATGCATCTTTTAGAAGTATGGGAACATTTGTACTAATTACATTAAATCCCTGTCATGGCAACATATGGCAAGGAATAGGGTTTGCAGTATCATGAGATTCTAAATGAGAACCAAAAATGAGTAATTTTTTAAAAGAGAAAAAAGGGGTAATTATGATTACACCACATACAAAACACCCCTCTGCCATTGCAATATGGGTAAACAGAACTATTTTGATAAGGCCCAGTCTCGCCCTTCTTATTCAGGCACCAAATATATTAGGAGATGTACCCGAGGAAGAAATGCATGATTGTATCCACAGCCTTCCTGCTACTCTATTCTTAGCTCTCATTTTAAACTGAATTTTAACAGGTGTGCGTTTAGCAAGTATGCCACATGTGATTAAATATTCAGTACTTGGCTTCTTGTGTTTAAACAATACTGATAGAATCAGAAAAAAGGGAGTAAAAATTGAGAAATATTTCTAAAGGCATCCTCAAACAAAGAAGATGAGAGAAAATTTGATGAAAGCCTAGTTTTCAAAGAGAAAAGTGCCTGCAGCATGTAGCTAGAGGCAAGTTAACATAGTTAGCATCCTTTGCAAGGCCTGTTTACATGGTTTTTCCCATAGTTAAAGAGATGTATGTATGTGTTGTAAAAATTGCAAATACGTGTATAGTTTATTTCTGCCTTTCATCTTACCACCACTTGAACATTATTTGTAGCTATGTTTAGGATAGTAAGCTTCTTTCCAATTAGAATCAGTAGTTAGAATTTATTTAGGGTGAAAATCACCCCTTTTTGCAGGCTGCATCTGCCAGCATTCAAGATTCTGGCTCAAGGTGGGGAGGGAAGAGGTCTAGGCAGAGCAGATGAGCTAAGGAGCCTGTGCATTGCTGCAGGTGGTGTTCCTCACTGGCTTTGAATGTGCTATCATGAAGGAGAATGTGCATCATGAGCAGGTCCAAGGAGGTGATCCTCTCCCTCTGTGTGACACTGGTCAGGCCGCAGCTGGAGTACTGTGTCCGGTTCTGGGTACCACACTTCAGGAGAGATGTGGACAGCATCAAGAGGGTCCAGAGGAGGGCCACTTGCATGATCAGGGGGCAGCAAGGCAGAAGCTGTGGGACTTGAACCTGTTCAGCCTCCACAAGAGAAGGCTGAGAGGGGATCTGGTGGCTGTCTACAAACTGGCCATGAGGAACCAGCAGGCAATGGGAGAGTCCCAGTTCCCCCGAGCACTACCGGGAGTAACAGGGAATAACGGCCATAAGTTGACTGAGAGTAAATTCAGACTAGATATCAGGAGGTGCTACTTCACTGTCAGGGCGGCTAGGATCTGGCATCAACTTCCAAGGGAAGTGGTGCTCGCTCCTACCCTGGGGGTCTTCAAGAGGAGGCTAGATAATGACCTCGCCGGGGTTGTTTGACCCCAGTACTCTTTCCTGCCATGGCAGGGGGTCGGACTTGATGATCTGCTCAGGTCCCTTCTGACCCTACCTACGATGAGACTGCTGGGGTGGAGGTAAGCTGGGGATATCACTGGATCCACACTTGTATGGAGGAAGAAGCAGGGGATCCAAACAACCTACTAATTCTATAATCAAAAACGGTAAAAAAGTAGGAACAGTTCTTCCTTCTGCTGACAGAATGGGGATAGAGTCCATCTGCACCAGCAGTAAGCCCCACTTTCAGTTTTTATTCCTTTTAATTGAAATTTGCATGGGATTTCCCTCCATATGAAATATATAAGCAAGTTTATAAAAACAATTCAGAGACAACAAGGCAAGTAAGTTAGTTTGGTTTTCTTCTGCAGTGAAAAGCCAATGAAAAACTGATCCCTGCTTCTGTTTGACAGTTTGGACTTCTGGAAATACATTTTAGGGGATGTTTTAGTTTACTAGTCTCTGTGGTCAGCTAAGCTACGTTTTAACATGTCCAAGCAGGGAAAGCAACAAGAGAAGACATCCAAAAAAACTTCATAGTGCACTGGCGGGAAGGGAGGCCACTTTATAAGCATTCTGAAACTTTTTATTCGTAAAATTCTGGCTAACACATTAGGGAAGCCATTCCCCTCTTCCCAAACCATTTAAAATGTAAAATAAAAGCATATTTTTATGCCTTACATGTGAATGTTTATGTATTTCTGTACCTACTGTATGGTTATATATACTACATGTCTAATTATATACTACTTTGCTATTAGACATGTTTTAAACCATCTATAATTTAACATCTCAGTGAGTTTCTGCTTAGAGTTTTATGAAGATTGGATATGTCATCTGTCCATTCTGAATATGTTGCATGATGTGCCTGAGATGCATTCTTGCTACCTTTCATTTGTGTCACCAGTTCTGGTTTCAGTTCATCTTGATTTTTCATACATTAATATTTGGCTTTTCTTTCCTTCCATTTCATCTTTTCCACCACTGCCTAAATCCTTCCACCATCATGGCAGAAGAAGCTATCACTCCTACACTTATTACCTGTAAGTAACTTCTTTGTGCATCAGCAGAGCCATGCTTTCTGCCATGTTGTTCTGTGCATGAGTTGTGAATGCCAGTGAGACAACTTCCTTCGTGAAAATCAGACATAATTTGTTTCACAGACCCGAAACAACATGGCCAATAATTTCATATCATTTTAATTAAATACATACTTTCTTACGGTTTCCTTTGCTTCGTGCTGTGTTGGAGTATTTTGAGTATATTGCTACAATTAATTTTTATATTGGCAGTTGTAGGCACCATAATTCTCACTAGAATTTTTAGAAAATATTTTCAGAATATAAAGTAACTATTTTTAGAATCTATTTAGGTTTACTCTCTCTGTTTTTCTTTTAAAAATACAGCATTGTTTAAACATGCATGGATTTGGTGGCCACTGTTGATACATTTTGCTCCTGTTTCATGAATAAATACGATGCAAAGATATCATGGGTCACTAGGTGTTTTCAGAGAAAGCGTATGGGCACAAAGAAACATTTTCTGTGGTAAAACTATTTGATAGAGAAATCAATAGTTAATCACAAAATATGTTTTGCAAAGGGTCCCACCGTTTACTGCCCTTTACTGCATAGCGAATGAGATGAGGTAGTTGTGGCATCTAGCAATGTTGCCTTACCTGCTAAAGATAGCAGAAGATGTGTTTCGGCAAAGCAAAGGGTAGCCGTGGGGATTGATTATTAAGGCATAGACCAAGGCTCGTGAGAACTTGATTCTGTGACAAGATTCCCACATCTGTAAAAAGGATATGAAAATAATATTTTCCATCTCACAGGCGAGTGGTAAAAATGTTATAAATGTGATACAGAAAACTAGATAGAGCACAAATAAACTCCCATGGTATGATGTGATACTTTTATGACATTAGCATTTATTCAATGAATCACACAACTGGATTTTTTGTACTTTCATAAGCTTAATACTAAACATGCTAATATGAATAGCTATTTGTATTTTATTAATGGAAGTGAAAGCAGATACATTCTCTCATATAATGGAACATTTTTTTAATTAAATGTGATTCTTGAATATGTCCAGTGATGTAGTAAAATTCACTTGGAGCCTGATCTTGGTGACATTCACTACTCAGCATAGTGCTTATTACCTTGAGAGTTCAACAAGGCTTCTCCAAACTATTTTGAATTTGAGGATTTAAGGCTGTGTTGGGCTGGCTAAAGACATTTGTTCTATTATTTTAAGGTTTTAAACATGTTCATCTCATCATTTTAATGTATTGATGTAAACTGTCTAACACTGAAAAGGTTTAGTTTTTTGTTTGATTTATTCTTTCTTTGCCCTAATTGTGCCTTTATTGCCTTAACGAGTTTGGGAATTAGTCAGTAACATTAAAAACAAGGAAAGAAGAGACTGACTGATGCAGAATCCTCTCTAGCTTGCAGTTCCCCTGTTTCTAGGAGTACAATCTTTAGAGAATTTGTTCCAAAGCTGGTTGATATACAATAATAGCAGTGTTCAACAGCCATGGGAGCAGTAAAATCAGCTAATACATATTAATTAAAAGTCAAATAAAAATGCAGTGGAAAGATTGGGAATAATTTCAAGTAGTTGCTGAAGGCAAGGATTTACCTATACAAGATGCTCCTTCATGGAGGTTAAAAAGAACAAATGATAGTAAAATTAAGTAAACAGAGTAAATGTAAGTGACAAGTCATTTAAAGAAAATTAAATGATATGCATATTTGCCCTAGAAAATCCTAGCATTTTTTCAGGTTTCATTCATATTAAAGCTATTTTAAACCACTTTTAACATAAAAATTTAAATTACGTATTTTAAAAAAGAGAAGGATAAGCTTTGGATTTTTAAGTAACTTACCAAAAATGTACTCCAAGATTGGAAACTTTATAATCAAATGAATTTAAAACACCAAATTGCAATCCTCTTAATCAATTGAAACTCCTTCAGACTTCCTAAGTAGAAGAGCACTGCTAATTAACTCATAATTCATAGTTTCATAGTTTCTAGGGTCGGAAGAGACCTGAGCAGATCATCTAGTCCGACCCCCTGCCATGGCAGGAAAGAGTACTGGGGTCAAACAACCCCAGCAAGGTGTACACCTACAGCTTCAAATGTTCTTTGTTCAAATGTTCTTATTTTGTTGCTTGGTGTTCTGCTTCACAATATAGCAGTCACTCTTGTCTTGAACTGTTTTTAAGACAATATTATGGAAGACTATATAGTGAATACAGGTGGCTGGAAAAATAATTTCTTTTCTGTGAGATATTCAAAACTTGTTTTAAATTCTGATACAGAATTAAAAGACAAAACTTCAACATTTTCCATGTAACAGACATTCTGAAAAATATTTATATGGGACCAGTTAGACATTTTGTTTTCAGAATGTCAAACACTGTAATGTATTTCAGGCAGTATTAAACAACATATGAAAAGTAGATTAAATTCAGTACTTTAATTCATTCTAAATATCAACAAATTAATTGAAACACAACAATCAAGCCTATGTTTTTACCTTTCAAAGTGAATTGATTTGACATTGTTTAAATGAAACAAAAAAGTCTAATTTTGATTTCTTTTTACTTTTTCTCCATTCAAAAAAAAAAAGAAAGAAAACATCAGCACAGTCAACAAGTTCCCACGGTACAAATCAATTTAAATAAAACTGCATTGCCCAGTGAAAAATGGTCCCGTTCAAAATCTTTATCCAGTTTTAGTAATGGTAATAACAACTTTGGTATTTGAGCTTAGTTCTGCATTAGAACCAGCAACACAGTTGAGAGAACAATTTAGTAATAGTTATAGTGGGGCTTCTCTTGATTCTTCAGATTGCTATCAAAATAGCTCCAGGCAAAGCAGATCATCTGCTCTTCTGAAAACTTATGAAGTTTAGATCAACTGTTTGATAGTCTGGAGGAGCCATGTCTTTCAAGTAGAACTGGCTTTTATTGTCCTCTGCCATGAGAAGAAGGGGAAGAAAATAAACAGACAACAGGAATCAAAAACAGGCACTGAAAAGGAAAAACATATTGGACCAAATTCTATACTGATCCTGACTCCATTCAAACCCACTATGTTCAGGGAACTTGCATGGGTTGTTCTAAGTCAAAGCAGAATTTGTTCCTCTTTTTCTTTATTGATTTAGAAAGGAGGAGATTGATACAAATTTTAGTTTATTGTTTATTTTTAAGAAAGCCCTTCACAAAGCTGGGTTGCAATGTAGTGCCATCCTGAATTCATCATCACTCTTCTGAGTATCATATTAAAGTCTACTGATTAATCAATGTAAACACTGGGTGTGACATCCAGTCAGTTATACTGTCCAAGAATCTATGTTCTAAAATAGTTGCCATTGTCTTGTATTCAGTGGTTTTCTAAAGTACCGTGGGTGCTCTTTTCCTAGTGGACTGCATTAAATGCCACTCCTAAATCCCTCCTAAATGAAAAAAAAAAGTTGGCAGATGCCTTGCACTGCAGATGGATTATCAGAGGTGGGCCTACAGCTGTGCATATTTGGCAGACAATTATTTCATTTTATCTTGTATTTGCTAGTTAGTCAGTCAGGAGATGTTAGACAAAGGGAGTTGAGCACTGCCATCAATAATAATCCTTTTCCAAAATGGTTTTGAGTGCTTATGCCAGAGCCTTTCCTCCTACTTCCCACCCCGCTTTGACTGAGTCACTATTGTATTTTATACCACTCACTCCAGTCAGGTAGCAGATTGTTTGGGCTGGAAGCAAGAGTGGGTAGCTACTTCAGCTTGATTTTTTTTTGTTCATAATATTAGTAATTCTCCTGTAATTCTTGTTAGCTCTGCAGCAGTTCTCTGGACTTAACAGTTCATTCTGGGTGGGAGAAGGAAGAATAGACAAGATGTCATTAGTGACATTCACTTATAATGACTTGTTTTCGCAGCATGTCAACTAGCACTGACAAAATTCTGCTTTCTCCTGACTTGTTTTTTGATGGACAGAACCCAGTGACATTGGTCAGAGAAGCAAAAGTGCATTTAATCACTTAGTTTAGTTGATGAACTAGAATAGCCTGTATATTATGTAAGAATTCATTTTGAATGAGATTTAGACAGAGGCCTTCATGTTATTAATCAGCATCCAGCTCAATAACATCACTTGTGTAAATGCCAGAAATAAGGGGAAAAAAACCCTTTGAACTGGGTTGGGTTAACCCAGTTGGTGGCTACTGACATTGGAGCTATTCAGGGCCTGACCTTTTGGATGGACTTCTAACAGATGCAGTAACCAACTGCAGTAAGCTAGGAAATAACTTTGCCAGGTATCTACAGGCAGAGCATACTGTATTTACTCACATACCGCATACATCTTGCAATGCCAAAATCAGATTTCCAAACTTGGGGTCCATGTCTTATGCAAGGAAAATGGTTTTCTTAACCAGAATAGAAGAATGAAGCAATAGAAGCATGGAGATGCTGTGCTTTAATGGCTGCCAAGCAAAGGCCAGCACACAGCAGGGACAGAGTACAGTTTTAAACCTCTCAGAGCCACTGCCAAATTAGCAGTAACTTTTGACTGAGCACTGTAACCCTTTAGCTTGTTCCTGGAACAGCAGTTGAGGAGCTGCTTAAGGCTAGTGACCTGCTGCATATGTTCAAATCTCTCAGCCATGACTTTGGAAAAACTTTTTTTCCCCCAAGACAAGGCACGGAGAGAAGGGGGGAGGGGTGTGTGGTATGAGAAAATATGGTAAAATGTCACAATTACAAAAGTAGTTTTGGTTACTGTTGCCCAAAGCTTGAGCTGGGCATCTGAGATGGTTTCTTTTGATTTACTCAGCAAGATTACTCAACCCTGGACATTTAAATTTTCTTTTTTGTGAAGGACACTGGTGCATTTCACATTATTTCACCTTGTGAAATCAAATCTTGTCCTAGTATGCCTAGAAAATATACATCATGTTGGTTGCTAGAAATTACCAAATTTATCATGGCTGCTTCTGTAACCAGCCATGCTCGGTTTGATGGTTTGGGCCTA